GAGCCTGTGGCGCTGGTCCTCTGAGGATCATACTCCTAGCAGCTTCACCTACTCCTGGCTGCTCCCAGCACAAATGACAGGCACCCCAGGGAGACACATTGTGAGGCACCAGTGTCCTGCTCTCCTTCCCACTGAGGGTACATGGGATCAGAGCCCTGTCCTACCTGTGTCCATACCACTCCTTATCCTCAGGCCTGGCACAGTCACTTCTGACTCAGCCTCCAGCCCTCTCTCCTCTCCTCTCCTCTCCTCTCCTCTCCTCTCCTCTCCTCTCCTCTCCTCTCTCACAAGCCCTGTGACTCCCCAGACCTGAGGCTGACAGTCTCTCCCTGTCATCAACCCGGGCAAGGTTGATGTAGTCTTGTGTCAGTCACGAAGAGAGACAGCTGTCTCAGTCAGCAGTCTGGCGGGAACCCCTCTTCTCCTGAGTGCAGGTGGCCTGGATGGGCCCCAGGGGCTGTGCTGTGTCTCTTCTGGTTCTCGGGTTGGGGTCCCTACATCATGAAGGGCTTCCTGGGGCTTCCTGAGGGGGATAAACATCCCTGGCACCCCAGGACCTTCTCCCCTCAGGTTTAACAGAATCAGTGGAGGAAGTGCAGACACCACCTGGGGCCACCTGCAACTTCCTCCTGCACCACTGTCCTCCCAGGGACCAGGGCCCATCACCTGCACCAGGCAGCTCTGACCCTTAGCTCAGGTCTGTCCCACGTGGACTCAGGTCCTCGACCGAGTGACCCTGAGTGGTGGCCACGGCTGCATTCGGGGCACTTTTGTCATGTTCAGGGCAGAGACCTTTTGGATAAATTTCTTCATGAGTTGAATTTCTCTCCATGAATCTCTGGTAATTTTGAAACTGATCTTTCGAACTGCATGAGGCCCAAACAACAGAGGAGAATTTATTAAGAAGGAAGAGCAGAGGCTTCCCTATTTCTGCTCTGGCTTCTGTGGGAGTGGGTGACACAGAAGAAAAATTATTTTCTCCTCACAAAAGCATGGCAAGTGCAGTGGGAATATTTCATCTAAAATTTACTTCTCCAGACACCTGGGTGGCTCGGTTGTTGAGTGTCTGCCTTTGACTCAGGGCGTGATCCTGGGTCCCAGGATCGTAAGGACTCCCCAATCGGGCTCCTCCCAGGCAGCCTGCTTCTCCCTCTGCCTGTCTCTGCCTCGTTCTCTATCTCTCATGAATAAATAAAGTCTTTAAAAAATAAAATAAAGTAAAATAAAATTTACTTATAGATCTGATGAACAAGAAAGAAAAGTTTTGGTAAGAATCCTGCGACCAAAAAAACATTTCAGGGATTTTTCAGGTGAAAGCATCATGAAAAGATCATTCTGCATAATTATATCTGCAAATTCTCAACTGAGGATTTCTCAACAACATGACCATAAATGGTCTGGCCCCTCCCTGGTCCCCAGGTGACGCCTGTCCAAGTGCACAGCACCCCCAAGGCAGCTGGAGGAGGTGATGGGAAGAAGCTGTCTCCTTCAGGACCTGGAATATTCTTCTGATGTTGTCCCACCTCCCCTCACGGGCTGGGCAGCCTTCCTCATGTGGTGCAGGGACCGATGGTGCCAGCTGCCTTGCACCTGCCAGGTCCCCCTCTTCATTCTCTCTCTCTCTCTCTCTCCCCCCCCCCCCCCCACCAGGGACCAGTACCTGCATTCCTCATGGAAGGAAGCTCTTGGACTGAGTCCTCCTCCACCAGGAGGGGGCAGCAGAGCTGCACCAGGAGCAGCAGGTCAGAGGCTGGGGCTGCCCAGAGGGGGCCTCCCAGGGACACCAGGCCTCGGGGTCAGCAGGGCTCCCCAGTGAAATCCTCAGAAGAAAGCACAGATGATCCATCCTATCTCCTCAGGCTGTAGGGACCATGTTCTGAGAGTCAGACTCACACAGCAGCACCCAAGCACTGACGGGAGTCCCTGAAAATGGTCCCCTTGGGAAACACCAGCATCCTCACTGTCCACCAGTGTTTCCTGGGAGCTGACTCATCTGTGCTGGGCAGGTCCAGAGACGTCCTGACCACTTGTCCTCATGTCTCCCTCCTCAATTCCAGTAAGACTCAAACCTAGAGCTGAGGCTCCTTTGCTCAGGAGCATCTACACCAATCATCTCTGTCAATGATTCTGATTAGGCATTTGTCCCACGTTCATTATGGGAACAGCACTCACTTGTCATGGGTCATAAAGTGGACCTAGTGGTTTCTGCCCAAACAGGGATCACACAAGTCAAACACCGGGACTCAGTTTAAAGTTCTGAACCTATTAAAAAATACCTATATATTTTTTCACTAGTATATCCCACACATCTATCCACAAACATACAAACAGCTGAGACATAAATGTTTTTTACACACGCAGACTGAGAAGTCTCTTCATATTTGTACATGTGCACACATACATCATATGAAGGCTTGGGTCACAGAAATTTGATATCACGCAGGACTCACACATCCAGGTCAGGGACAGAAGCTGACAGAAGATGGAAAGCACAGCAAGGGCAATGTGACCTGTGTCACATGTGAGCCAGGTGACCCAGGAGATCAGCCACAGTGACTGTCAGCTAAAAAGGCTGCTGCTTCCCTTTTACTTTGTCCCACATTAAAGCAGAATTCACTCCTGTGAATCACCAAAACCAGAAACAATCAGTGGAATTAATTCTGACAATACATCACTGGAGCACAAAAATTTTACTTAAAAGAAAATATTACCTTGGGCGCCTCTGAGTGGCTCAGTCGGTTAAGAGTCTGCCTTCCGCTCAGGTCATGAACTCAGGGTTCTGTGATTGAATCCCCTGTAGGGGCCCCTCTCAGCCGGGCGTCTGCTTCTCCCTCTCCATCTCCCCTCTGTGCTCTTGTTCACACTCTCGCCCTCCTTCAAATAAAGAAATATATAAAATATTAAAATTAAATTAACAAAGAAAATATTACCTAGAAATGGAAAGAGTTCTGAATCAAAGACACCTTATATTGTCACAGTCCTCGAGCTCACACAAGCAGGAATCTCCCAACAGAGACTGATCACCTGGCCCCAAACCCATGACCTACTCCCTGATTCTTCTTCCCAACCTCACAGCAGCCCCAGTGTCACTTCTCCAGAGAGGCCTCCTCCAACCTCCCCCCAACTCAGGGTCAGCCTGTCCCTTGGATCCCCATTTTCATAGTCTGTACTTTACTCTTACTGAATGGTTTTCTCCCCATTGTTGTTTTATCCATTAATTTATTGGTGGTAATTTATTGGTAATAATATTTCCTATTGGTTAAGGATATCTCAGTGCAAAACATACGCATGACAATCAGTGGCAGGAACACACTGAAGCCTATTTTCTCCCCTAACAACACGTCTGGGTCACATGGTGTTTCTCCGGATTTCACCACATCCATGAGGTCCCAAATCCTCTCCGTTTCTGTTCCACCATCACTGAGGCTTTGCTCTTTATTCTTGAAGATGACAGACATCAGGAAGGCTGCTGAAGCTCCAGCCATCACATTTATATTTCAGAGCAAGACACTACATTAGTCTAGTCTCATTCTTTTCCTCACAAGAGGCAAAGTCCCGGAAAGGACCCCACACACGGACACTTCTTTGGGCACATGCTGCACAACAGGGTCAATCCTGACACAGAGGGATGTCACTGTGGCGATGTTCTGGCTGTGGTATGAATATAGAAGCCAGGGGACAGGGGCAGCTGGTAGAGACTGTGTGCTGTGTCACCAGAGCAAGTGTGTCCACCCTGCTCCCCACTCACAGCATAAATCTATGAGGCAGGACCTCTGCCTCGTTCACACTGATCCCCAGGACAGAATGTCTCTCAGACCAAAGTGAGGCTGAATGAATGTTGACTGAGTGTTCTCAGCTCCCTGGACATGGAGAGGAGCCACCACCACCCTATTTGGGCCCAGCACCCCGAGGCTGCACCAGTAGGAGGCAGTCTCAGAGTCCTGTGTCCCCCAGGCACCCAGTCCTGCACCCTACGCATGACCACCCACACCCTAGAGATGTGTGCTTTGAGGGCCCAGGGGCCGTCTGCTCCTCAGCTGAGCTTATACCAATGTGCAAGGAGAATTCGATCCCCACCTGCCTTGTCGAGGGACTGGCAGGGTCCATGAAGAGAAGAGTAACTTCTGCCCTGGGTCAGCAGGGCAAGAGCAGGGAACCAGGATGTGAGCAGTGGGCTCTCCATCTCCACCTGGACCAGGGACTTCCCTGGGCCTCCAGCAGCCAGTGCGGAGCGGCCATCAGGGGGCAGCAGAGATGACCTGGCGAAGCCACCTGCACAGGGGGCGAGCCTGGTATCAGGGGTTCTAACAGGAGGGGCTGAGTCACTGGGCCCTGAGACTGAGGGGCAAGGTGCGGGATTTCTGCAGTATAACCTTGGACACTGATGTAAGTTCTGACCTGACGTCTCTCAGACTCAGGGGGTCTCATAGATTTGCCTCTGTCACTAGCCCAGCTCCAGGACTTCACGGCTCTCCTGCCACCCCCTTCCAGCTGCACTCAGTCACTGTCAGATTTTGCTCAAGGCCTGGATCTCTCCTTTGCACTGAGTGCACCCTGGGGACACTGAGGCACAACCTCTATGACCTGCCCAGGACTACCCCCATAGTCAGAAAGCTACAACACCTAGAGGGCTCCCAAAACCTCCATGTGCCCTTAGCAAGAGGAGAATTTTGTTGAGCTTGATGCTCACAGGGATCTGGGGTAGGACACTGCACTGCCCTAAGCCTCCTCACGTCTCCCAGGTGCAAAAGCTACAGAATCTAAAAGGGTAAACCAGACCCCACTAGACACAGAGGTTAAAGCACAGTCCCTGGGTCTGAGTCTGGGCCTTCAAGGGGCTTCCCATCCACTTCCTTGTCCCTTGGGTCTCAGCCCTGCTCTCAAAGCACAAGCTCTTCAGGAGGAGCCCCTGAGCCCTGGCTGATTTGCATGACCAGCAGGTGTCTCCAGCCAGGGGATAAGAGAGGCCTGGGGGGAACCTCTGCCCAGGCTGGGACCTGGGGAGCAGAATCAGGGCGCCTCCACCATGGCCTGGACCCCCCTCCTCCTCAGCCTCCTGGCTCACTGCACAGGTACTGAGCCCTGGTCATTCCCAGGCAGGCAGCAGGGTTGTCAGTCCAGCCCAAAAATGCCCCTGAGTCTAGAACAGGTGCCTGAAGGGCGTAGATCCAAATGAAAAGGCTGAAGGAGTGGAGTCGTCCCAATGTGCTCACTCACTCTGGAGAGCCTGAGGGGCTGACCCGACCCAGGGAAAATTAATGTGTCTCCTTTGTTCAAAGGCTCGATCCACCAGCTATACCCACAGTAGTGGGGGCGGGGGATGAGGAGATGTAGAAACAGACCCCCAGGGGTAACTGGGGCTGAGGTCAGGCAGGTGGGGTTCTTCTTGTGATGAGACCTAGAGCTGGGAACCCACCTCTCCTTTTCTCTCCTGCAGGTTCTGTGGCCTCCTATGTGCTGACACAGCCGCCATCCGTGAATGTGGCCCTGAGGCAGCCGGCCCGCATCACTTGTGGGGGAGACAGCATCGGAAGTAAAAGTGTTCAATGGTACCAGCAGAAGCCGGGCCAGGCCCCCGTGCTGATTATCTATGGTGATAGCAGCAGGCCGACAGGGATCCCTGAGCGATTCTCTGGAGCCAACTCGGGGAACACGGCCACCCTGACCATCAGCGGGGCCCTGGCCGAGGACGAGGCTGACTATTACTGCCAGGTGTGGGACAGCAATGCTGATGCTCACAGTGACACAGGCCGATGGGGAAGTGAGACACAAACCCTTTCTCCCATCTGCGTCACCCTCCCCTCCACCCCGGAGGCTGTGCACAGGCTGGAGCGGGTCTTCCCCAGGCCCCCTCATCTGAGGTCCCCAGACCCTCCCTCCTACCCAGGCCTCAGCATGTCTGCACCTGGAGGTTCAGGAGAGTATTTACAGCTCACAGCACTAAGCTGCCCTGGTTCCCTGGGCCTGGCTGTGACAGGGGACTGAGGGCCTGGGGAGAAAAAGACACAGGGGGACCTGGGCTAGGGGCCATGCGCCTGCATTTCCATCGCCATCTTGGGCTAATGCTCTTCCAAATGACCAGGCTGAGCACTCCAGTGTTTCAACTCATCTGAGCTCCTGACGCCCTGGGGACCTTGGTGGAGCCTTCCCTCCCTGAGTGGACCTATCAGGAGCAGGAGACATCAATGGTCACCCACACCTCTCTTCTGGCTCACATGGCCCCCCACTGCTGCCTGGAGCCCCTGACAGCTCACAGGGGTGCAACTCATGGGGAAGTGCTATGGCCCAGAAATCTGCTGCCCCAGTATCCATCCCTTCTCAGAGAGTCACAGATGAATGATGTCCTGATGCCTGGATGCCGGCCCTGCCTCATGCTCCCAGGTCCTGAGAGGTCCTGGGGATGAGCTCCCTGCAGGGAGGAGGTGTCATCTGATAGCTCATCTCTCTGGGATGCTCTCCTTCTGTCCACGCTGATATCCCTTCTCCTTCCAGATGTTTTACACAGGCACTTCTCCATCTCAGAACCTGCTTCCAGGAACCTATTCTAGGGTGGCCGGCATCACAGCCATAATCCTCAGGGAACAGAGAAGGCCCCTGGATATACCTCGACAACCTCCTAGTATGCAAGGAGGTCAGTCTCAGTGCAACCCATAAGAAGCCACCGAGTCCCCTTTGTCCACAGGAGATCCACTCAGACCACAGGAGATCCACCAAACCGCAGCCTGCAAATAAGGGGAATATCGGGTCCTTGCTTCCACCTGATAATGTGCAGCTGTCCTGACACAATCACACATAAGTTCTTTCTCCCGTAGGAGGATACAAGCTATGCTTCCGTCTGCTAGGGATATTGATCTCTGCCTCACCGGATTTGTCATGCTCAATGTCGATACTGAGAAAGTTTGCTCCTGTGAACACACATGATGTTAGGTGCTGATGGGCTGACACAGGTGGAGGAAACAGAAACATCTGATGACAATGTAGCCAGGTGCATTCCTGCCACAGAAGGAGAAACACTGGATCCTTCTGTCCTGCTCATTTCAGCCAATACCCTGTGCTCAGAGGGGGTCTGTAACTACTCTCCTCACCACGAACCCCACGAGCACCTTCCTTCAGAAAACACCTGAGCTAGTGATCATCCCAGCCACTGGGCAGGACTACAGCTTCCTTTGGGAATTCTGGTCCATTATCGGACCTGCTGAACTGGAATGTGGTGCAGTCATGACTTTATCACAAACCCTGGGAGCCCCCGGGATCCCCTGAATCCATTAACACCCCTGCCTGCCCCAGGTGTGCAGAGACACCAGTTCCCCCGTGACAGCACAACTCACCCCAGCCAGCGCCCTCTCTTATCCTGACTCATCCCAGGAGGAGGTGAAGGGAGACCGGGTATACTAGGTGCCCCCATAGCTAGGCAGGTAGTGTTCCCGGGGCATCCCTCAACCACAGGACACACTTGTCGGCTGGCCACAGACTATATCATTTTTACAAATATTTTCTTTATTTATTCAAGAGAGAGAGAGAGAGAGAGAAAGAGAGAGAGAGATACAGAGACAGAGACATAGCAGAGGGGAAAGCAGGCTCCATGTGGGGACCCTAATGTGGAACTGGATCCCAGGATCCCAGGATCAGGCCCTGAGACAAAGGTAGACACTCAGTCACTGAGTCACCCAGGCTCCTGACAGAAACTAATCTTGAACCATTCTTACCCACATCACTACAGGCTCCGAACTAAATGAAGCTCAGGTGCCCAGAGCAGGACAGTTAAGGCCCTTGTCCCAGGGGACCCAGTAGGACCTAGGGAGAGAAGCAGAGGAAGTGAGACTTTCCATGGAGCCTGGACCCCCACCCTGTGAGCTCAGTGACCACACAGTCCCCAGAGGAAGGGGGAGTCCCAGGATGCAGGTGCAGGTAGAACAGGTGAGGGAGGGTGAGGCCTGGGCATCGATGGGTGGAAGAGCTCCAAGGGGAGCCGGTGGCACTGGCCCTCTGAGGACGACACTCTGAGCAGATTCACCTGTACCCGACCACTCCCGGCACAGGTGACAAGACTGCAGAGAGACACAGTGAGGCACCAGGGTCAAGCTGTCCTTCCCAACAGACTCCATGGGGTCAGGGCCATGTCATCACCTGTGTCCTCACGGCTTCCTCCTTAGGGCTGGGAGTGTCACTGTGGACTGAGCCTCCCTGTCTCCCTCAGGCCCTCTCTCCTCACCCCCTCTCACTTGCAGGCCCTGCCTCCCCTGACCCGAGGCTGACATTTACTCCGTGTCCGTCACCCTAGGTAGGCACAGGATCCTCTGCTCAGGGAATGAACTCAGCCGTGAACATGCCTCTCTGCCCCGCAGAAGCTAAGACCGTCCCCCAGCCGGTCATACAGACATGAGTGACCATCCAAGCCCGATTCTGAAGCTGTAACACGGGGACCTGGCCCCACTGAGGATGAGCAGACTGAGGGCCAGGAGAGAGCTGACCCCTGATGTGACAGTTACTGTGGCAATGGGAGCATCCATCAGTGACGGAGGTGACACAGAAGGATGGTAGGTGGGACACACACCCTCCTCCATGGCCCGGCTCTCCCTCTCTCCTGCCCTCTGAGCAGCTGCTGGTCAGGCCTCAGGATCAGGTGTCCTCCCTGGTCCCGGACCCACCTTTGAAGGGAGGAGACTCTCCCAGGTTCTCTGCCCTCCCCTCCTCCCTCCTTGGTCACCCCTCTGCCTCTCAGGGGACAGGTCAAACTTTTCCTGCAGAGCTGGTTATCTTGACTTTAGAGACTTCATGTCATACATCATGTGGGCACAGAGGTCATCACGTGTCACTCGGGAGGGGAGAAAGGTGTCTCAGACAGCACGGTCTGGCGGGAATCCTCTGCTCCAGGGTACAGGTGGCCTGGATGGGCCCCAGGGGCTGCATCACTTCTGGGTCTTGGGTGAGGTGTGCCCACCCCATGAAGGGCTCCCTGGAGCTTCCTGAGAGGGATACACGTCCCTGCCGCCCCAGGCCCTTCTCCCAGGGTTTTACAGAATCTGTAAAGGAAGTGCAGACACCACCTGGGGCCACCTGGCAACTTCCACCTGGTAACTTCCTCCTGGACCACCCAGGGTCCAGGGCCCATCACCAGCACCATGCAGCTCTGACCCTTTGCTCAGGTTCTGACCCACATGGACTCACACCCTCAACCGAGTGACCCTGAGTGGTGGCCACAGCTGCATTCAGGGCACTTCTGTCCTCTGAGGGGAAGGACTTTCTTCCAAGACTTAAATAGAACTTGTACATCAATGGAATTTCTCTTCATGATTCTTTGCATTGTTCTTTTGAAATTGATTTGGACACAATTGCTTGAGGTTCAAAGGACAGATGAGCAATTTACTAAGAAGACCAGAAGCTTCCTCTATTTCCACTCTGGCTCTTCAGGTGGACACCTTCTTGGGAGTGAGAGACGCAGGACAGAAAATCATTTTCCCCTCCCTCATGAACGAATGGCAGGTACAATTGCAATCCTTCCTCTAAAAATTACTTACCGGACAGCCCAGATGGCTCAGTGGTTTATGCCGCCTTCAGCTCACGGCATGATCCTGGGGTCCCGGGATCGAGTCCTGCGTTGGGCTCCATGCATGGGCCGTCTTTCTCCTTCTGCCTGTGTCTCTGCCTCTGTGTTGTGTGTGGCCTCTCTGAATAAATAAATAAATCTTTAAAAATATATAAAAATAAAAAATATTTACTAACCTTATGAACTAGAAAGTCAGTCTTACGTGGGAATCCCTTGCAGGAAATAATCATTCCAGGGAGTTTTCAGGTTAAAGGAGGGTGGAAAGTTTTCTCTGGAGAATTAGATGTGGTGACTCTCCCCATAGAGTTGCTCAATAACAGGACATGTATTGCGGGGTGCCTCCCTGGTCCCCGGGGCCTTCTGACCACTTGCCTGCGTCACCAGTATGCAGCTGGCAGACTGAGAGGAAGAAGCTCAGGACCAACAACATTCTGCCTGAGGTTACCCCAGCTCCTCTCAGCCTGTGCAAGCCCCATCCACCAGCCAGGCCCGTGAGTTCCAGGCACTGAGAGGAAGGGAATGTGGAAACGGGGCCCAGATAATTCCTGGGACTGAGGCCAGGCAGGTGGGGTTCTGCTTGAGATGAGACCTGGAGCCAGAAGTCAACCTCTCCTCCTGTCTCTTGCATTTTCTGTGGTGTCCTATATGCTGACTCAGCGGCCATTGGCAAGTGTAAACCTCGGCCAGTGGGCCAGCATCACCTGTGGTGGAGACAACATTGGAGGGAAAATTGTCCAATGGAACCAGCAGAAGCCTGGTTAGCCTCCCATTATGGCTATCTATAAAGGTAGTGATCGGCCCTCAGGGATCCCTGAGCAATTCCCTGGCCCCAACTCGGGGTACGGGGCCTCCCTGAACATCAGCGGGGCTAAGCCGAGGACGAGGCTATCACTGCCAGTCAGCAGACATTAGTGGTAAGGCTCACATTGACACAGACCGATGGGGAAGTGAGGCTCAAGCCCCTTCTTTATCCATATCACCCTTCCTCCAACGTCAGGGGCCTGTACACAGAGCATGAGTAGGTCTCACCCAAGTCCCCACATCTGGGGGCCCCAGGCTGCCCCCCCTCCCATCCCTGCAAACGAGCTCTGCACACAGCGAATTGGCAGAAAATGTGGACACATTTATTGTGACTGTGTAATCAGCATCTGTAAGCACATGAATGACCGTATTTGTAGGAGCAGATACAGAAGACATTTTTCGCATCTGTATCTGCTCCTGACAAATACGACCAAATCTTTCAAAACTCCGTGGAATGATAACCATGTGTTCTGCAATATAAAAAGCCAGACATGAGATTGACAACAGATTGGATGCTGCAGCAGGAGACATTAGTCACCTTTAGTCACAGCAATAGAAACTGTTCAGACTGAAGCACAGAGAGAAATAGCAAAAACAATTGAATAAATCCTCTGTTCAGGTAGGACAACTTCACCGCCCCTAAAGATGAGTCACTGGCGTAACTGAGGCAGAGGAAGTGAAGGGTGGGTGGTGATTGAAGATATGTCTGAGGATGAGGGGCAAGATGGTGGGAGAGTAGGGTCCCCAAGTCACCTGTCCCCAATAAATTACCTAGATATCTTTTAATGGAGTTCAATTTTTTTTAATAATAAATTTATTTTTTATTGGTGTTCAATTTGCCAACATACAGAATAACACCCAGTGATCATCCCGACATGCTCCCCCCTCAGTGCCCGTCACCCTTTCACCCCCAACCCCCGCCCTCCTCCCCTTCCACCACCCCTAGTTCATTTCCCAGAGTTAGGAGTCTTTATGCTCTGTCTCCCTTTCTGATATTTCCCACACATTTCTTCTCCCTTCCCTTATATTCCCTTTCACTATTATTCATATTCCCCAAATGAATGAGAACATACACTGTCCTTCTCCGATTGACTTACTTCACTCAGCATAATACCCTCCAGTTCCATCCACATTGAAGCAAATGGTGGGTATTTGTCGTTTCTAATGGCTGAGTAATATTCCATTGTATACATAAACCACATCTTCTTTATCCATTCATCTTTCGATGGACACCGAGGCTCCTTCCACAGTTTGGCTCTTGTGGACATTGCTGCTAGAAACATCGGGGTGCAGGTCTCCCGGTGTTTCATTGCATCTGAATCTTTGGGGTAAATCCCCAACAGTGCAATTGCTGGGTCGTAGGGCAGGTCTATTTTTAACTCTTTGAGGAACCTCCACACAGTTTTCCAGAGTGGCTGCACCAGTTCACATTCCCACCAACAGTGTAAGAGGGTTCCCTTTTCTCCGCATCCTCTCCAACATTTGTGGTTTCCTGACTTGTTAATTTTCCCCATTCTCACTGGTGTGAGGTGGTATCTCATTGTGGTTTTGATTTGTATTTCCCTGATGGCAAGTGATGCAGAGCATTTTCTCACGTGCATGTTGGCCATGTCTATGTCTTCCTCTGTGAGATTTCTCTTCATGTCTTTTGCCCATTTCATGATTGGATTGTTTGTTTCCTTGGTGCTGAGTTTAAGAAGTTCTTTATAGATCTTGGAAACTAGCCCTTTATCTGATATGTCATTTGCAAATATCTTCCCCCATTCTGTAGGTTGTCTTTTAGTTTTGTTGACTGTATCCTTTGCTGTGCAAAAGCTTCTTATCTTGATGAAGTCCCAATAGTTCATTTTTGCTTTTGTTTCTTTTGCCTTTGTGGATGTATCTTGCAAGAAGTTACTGTGGCTGAGTTCAAAAAGGGTGTTGCCTGTGTTCTCCTCTAGGATTTTGATGGAATCTTGTCTCACATTTAGATCTTTCATCCATTTTGAGTTTATCTTTGTGTATGGTGCAAGAGAGTGGTCTAGTTTCATTCTTCTGCATGTGGATGTCCAATTTTCCCAGCACCATTTATTGAAGAGACTGTCTTTCTTCCAGTGGATAGTCTTTCCTCCTTTATCGAATATTAGTTGACCATAAAGTTCAGGGTCCACTTCTGGGTTCTCTATTCTGTTCCATTGATCTATGTGTCTGTTTTTGTGCCAGTACCACACTGTCTTGATGACCACAGCTTTGTAGTACAACTTGAAATCTGGCATTGTGATGCCCCCAGATATGGTTTTCTTTTTTAAAATTCCCCTGCCTATTCGGGGTCTTTTCTGATTCCACACAACTCTTAAAAAAAATTGTTCTACATCTCTGAAGAAAGTGACATGGCCTATTTTGAATGCTCCAAAAGATTCTCTCACTTTTTTTCCAAAAGCAAGTGACTGCTACTGGGGCTTTGCAGAGCAGCTGGGCCATCAGAAATAAAATTCAGGGCAGCCTGGGTGGCTCAGCAGTTTAGCACCGCCTCCCCCCCCCCCCCCCCCCCGCCCCGGGCATAATCCTGGAGACCCGGGGATCCAGTCCCACATCAGACTCCCTACATGGAGCCTGCTTCTACCTCTGCCGGTGTCTCTCCCTTTCTCTCCCTCTCTGTGTTTCTCATGAATAAACACATAAAATCATTCTAAAAAAAGAAATCAAATTCAAAACAATACATTGGGAAAAATTTTCTAGTAGCTACATTGTGAAAAAGAAAAAAAATGAATAGTATTTGATTTCATAGTACAGTTTGTTTAGTTCTATTACTTGAAACTATGATCCAATATGAATGAAAGGCAAAAACATTGATGTTTTTTACATTATTTTTATACTAAGTCTTTGAAATCTCATGGATCCTTCATAACTACAGCCCATCTCCATTTGGACTAGGCACATTTCATTCTCAACATCTATCTACACCTTGTAGATGCACATTAGAGTGTGCAGGTTCAATGAATGAGGTTTCTTTAGGGTAAATGTCCTTGCAGTATAGACTCACAGCCAACAAGCTGTTTTTCCCATGGACACACTAACTCCAACACCATGAATATCTCAGCACCTTTCCAAACAGACTCAGGGAGGACAGACACTGGAAGAAAGAAGAGACGATTATGATTGGAGGGTCCCAAAAATGTTGAGATAAGGGGAGAAGGAGCATGGTAAGAGGGCACCGCAGGGACGGATGGTAACTCAGGCTCTGAGTTGTGTCCTGCATTGAAAACCACTTGCTCATCACTCGGTGAGCCTGAGAAAACATTCTATCTCTCAATCTTAGTTTCCTCCTTTAACAACTGGTGGAACATTTGTGCCTGAAGCATCCACCTGTTTTTTTTTTTAATTCCTCATTGAGGTGGAGCCTATAAACACTCATCAAGGGTCTAGCATCTCTTGGGGACTCAAAAGGAGTCATTATGAGGAACTGCAAATACATGTGGGGTGACATTCTCCCGGGGTACACCAGAGGGAACTGTGGTCTTGGTTTGTGACCCCAATTAGTCCAAATCCCCTTGTCTATGCTCAAGTGCAAAGAGTGTGACTGTGGCTCTCTGTAAAGAAACTTGTACCAGTGTACATTCCCACCAACTGTGCAAGAGGGTTCCCCTTTCTCCACATCCTCTCTAACATTTGCTGTTTCCTGCCTTGTTAATTTTCCCCATTCTCACTGGTGTGAGGTGGTATCTCATTGGGGAGGTTCCTCAAAGAGTTAAAAATAGATCTGCCCTATGACCCAGCAATTGCACTGCTGGGGATTTACCCCAAAGATACAGATGCAGTGAAACGACAGGACGCCTGCACCCAAATGTTTATAGCAGCAATGTCCACAATAGCCAAACTGTGGAATGAGCCTCGGTGTCCATCGAAAGATGAATGGATAAAGAAGATGTGGTCTATGTATACAATGGAATATTCCTCAGCCATTAGAAATGAAAAATACCCACCATTTGCTTCAACGTGGATCAAACTGGAGGGTATTATGCTGAGTGAAATAAGTCAATCAGAGAAGGACAAACATTATATGGTCTCATTCATCTGGGGAATATAAATAATAGTGAAAGGGAATTAAGGGGAAAGGAGAAAAAATGAGTGGGAAATATCAGAGAGGGAGACAGACCATGAGAGACTCCTAACTCTGGAAAAAGAACTAGGGGTGGTGGAAGGGGAGGAGGGCAGGGGGTGGGGGAAAATGGGTGTTGGACACTGAGGGCGGCACTTGATAGGATGAGCACTGTGTGTTATTCTGTATGTTGGCAAATTGAACACCACTAAAAAATAAATTTATTATTAAAAGAAAATTGAACTCCATAAAATATATTTATATATATGTATATCAAGAAAATCCCAGTGATTCAGGTCAGGCAGGTGGGGTTGTCCTTGAGATGAGACCTTGAGAGGGAAAACCACCTCTCCTCTTCTCTCTTGCAGGGTCTATGGCCTCCTATGTGCTGACTCAGCCGCCATCAGTGACTGTGAACCTGGGACAGACCAGCAGCATCACCTGTGGTGGAGATAGCATTGGAGGGAGAACTGTTTACTGGTACCAGCAGAAGCCAGGCCAGCGCCCCCTGCTGAATATCTATTATGATGGCAATGGGCCCTCAGGGATCCCTGCCTGATTCTCTGGCTCCATCTCAGGGAACAAGGCCTCCCTAACCATCAGCGGGGCCCGGGCCTAGGTCGAGGCTGACTATTACTGCGAGGTGTGGGACAGCAGTGCTAAGGCTCACAGTGATAGGCCGAGGAGGAAGTGAGGCAAAAACCCCTCCCCCATCATTGTCACCCTCTCCTCTGGCCCCAGGAGGCCTGTCTGTGCACAGAGGAGGTGCAGGTGTGACCCAGGCCCCCTCCTGTGTGATTCCCAAGGGTCCCACTCCCCCAGCCCTCCAGGCAGGCTCTATACAGGGAGCTTCAGGAGGGAATGGAAGGTTGACAGGACTATGCTGTCTACGTATCTCTCCTGGGGATGAATCCTAGACAGAGGGCCTGGGTGGAAGGTAGACACAGAGAGACTTTCAATTCCATACTGTTGTCACTGGGCTACATTTTTTCCCCCAACTGTCCTGGATTAAAAACCAGAAATTCCCAGTTCAGATGGGCTCCTGAATCCCAGGTCCCCAGCAGCTGGGATTCTGAGTGGAGCAGACAAGTGCAGCAGACACTGTAGGTCACCTCCATCCCCTCTTCTGACATCACTCACCCACTCCCCCCTGCAGGCCCTCTCACAGCTCACAGAGCTGCTCCTAACAGCCAGGTGGTATGGTTCACAAATCTATCTCCCCAGGGTTCTGCCCCTACAGACATTCTGTTGAAATATGGCCTGAGTCCACAATCCAAGGCCCTGCGTCAGGGTCAGAGGTCCAGGAAGGTCCCACCTTTCTGCAGGAAAGTGACCTCATCTGATGTCTCAATGTGGGCGTCTCTCCTTCTGCCCAGACTAACCTCTCCAAGTCCTCCCAGATTTCTTACACATGTGCTTCTCCAACTCAGGCTCCTTCCAGGAACCCAGCGCAGGAAGGCTGTCATCCCTGACAGGTCCTTGGAGACCAGTGGAGGCCACTTCGACCCACCAACCTGCGGTTTCTCCCTCAGGTGACCAATGTACCCATTCAGTCCCTAGACCGTACCTTATATTTTTATACAATGAAAAAAGATCCAGACACACTGGGTGCTCTGGGTTTTGAAAGGCAATAGGAGAGTCACATCCATTGGATGGTGAATGGGGGACATTGGGGTAGTTGCTGCTCCCTATAACGTGACCAGAAGATGCACAACCTCAGGAGTGAGATGCAACACGGGTGCTGCTTCACTTCTATCCTCAAATCTTGTTCAAAGATCTCCCTTTACACCCACCCTACCCAGATACATGGATGGAAAACATTTCTGTGAAATACAGGTCAGCCTGTCAACAGTGACAATATGACACCACAGTCGACCCTCAACCCCACGAAATTCGCCCAGAGCAGCACAAACCACAGTCTCTGAATAAAGAGTGTTGGCAGTCATGCTGCCACCTAACATGATAAAACTATCCCAGGGACAATGACAAATATGCTCACCCTGTCCCCTCGAGAGGATGCAAATAAATTTTTCGCTGCTAGTGATCTTTATGTTCCTGCCAGCAGATTGATTCCTCTAATATCAATATTGAAATAGAAAGTTAACTATTGTTAACAAATCTGAATTTAGATGATGTGAATGTCATGTGAAAGACACCACAAGGAGGTACTTAATAGGTAAGGATGAGGAATTCCAACCTTAAGGAAGACATTGAAATAAAAATATTAGATTAGGATGAAACTTTTCTGTTATGTATTTTACACACACGCAAAGAAGAAATGGAGTATTAATGTGAATGTTTCACAAGAACAGCTACAGAATGTCCCCACATGCCCCTGCTCTCCCAGCCTTTAAGATTTTCAAAAACAGAGGGATGAATGCAGCCTATAAGGTGAAGAGATGAGCACCACTCCACATGAACCACATCCATGAAGCCAACTCACAAGTACAGAGATTATCCTCCACCTCCTGAGAAGCATCTTCAAGGGGACCAGTGATGACATGTGGAGGGTTGGGGTGGCAGGCTTAGCTGTGGGTCAGGAAACAGAAATCTGTGGTCGCCATTATTAACTGGACCCTCCACCTCCCCATCCATTCTCTTTGCCCATGTGCTGCCTCCCAGGACCTGCCTACAGGCTCAGCCGCCACAGGACCCTGAGCATGACCCTGACCCTGAGCTCAGTCCAGAAGGGCATGCTGGAACCCCAGAATCTCCAGAAACTGCAGGTCCTCTGGTCACTTGTAAGACACAACTGCCCCCTGGAGAGGGCCATGAGATCCCTGTGTTTCTCACTGGCCCAGGAGAGCAGTGCTAGAAGACCAAGCAGTAATGCTGAGCAGAGCCAGCAGGACCCAGACCAGGACCCAGCACAGCCAAACAGCCTCCACCAGCCCCACAGATTCTCCATTTCTATCCTGGAACATGATGCCATTGACCCTTCCAATGCAAAGTGAGGGGAATCCTTAGAGATCAGCTGGGAGGGGGATGGCAGTGTATATGGGGACATAAGCCCTATTGCCCAGCCTAGGCCACACTCCCTTCTTTCCAAACTAGTCCACCTCAGCCCCGTGGGACTCAGGGTTTGAATCTAGGACACCTGGATTGCATCTCTCGATGTACCCCATTTTCCTGGTTACCTAGTCTCTCTGAGCTTCTGGTTTACTTGCTGTGAAATGAAGACACTCACTTTCAATGAGAAAACACTTCAGTTGACGTTAAACACTACAAAACATTGAAGTGTCTCTTTAATGACAACAGCTCAGGGGAGTCTCAGTGAGGTAACCTTGGCGTTGGAGTCTGTTGTCTTCCTCTGTGGGAATCCAAGGGAGAATTTTCAGCTACAGTGTGACCGTACCATTTACAGTTGGATCCCCATCTGAATGAGCAGTTTCCCAACTTCCCCAGACACCAAATAGACTAGTGTACAACTCTTCCCACAGCAGACTCCAGGAGATATGGGTTGGAATATCAATAAGCTTAATAGAGATAGTAGTAATAACAATAAAGAGAAAGATTTGTCTGCTCAACTGCACTTAGCACCAGGAGCGACCATTTCATCCCCATGGCCACCTCTTGGAAGGCCCTGTGCCGGCCCAACTCCACAACCAGAGAGAAATCATCGGACAGTGCTTGTGTTCCAATTCCAGGAACATCATGTGATACCAAAATTTGGAGGCCAAGGTTCATTTTCTGACCTGTCAGCTGCTTGGAGGAAGCAGGGACCTGCTCTATTTCTCCACCTGACCAATCTCAGCACAACCCCAGACAGAATGGATCCCAATAGGAGCCTTAGTCAGCCTGTCTGGGGATTGAAGCAAGCCTCTGGGGAAAGAAAATCCAATACTCTAGGGGAGGAAAGCACATGACAGGATGCCCCTCCCAGGGCTGTGAAACAGAGAGTAACACCACTGGAAGGAGCCCAGCCATGCTGCTGATGCCCAGAAAGCAGACTTCGGAGGAGTGACTGTAGTAGTTTGCTAGGGCTGAGATAATGGAGCACCACAAGCTGGAGGCAGGGCGCAACTGACATTGGAAAAACGTTTTCCCACAGATTGGAGGTCAGCATTCTGAGATCTAGATGCCAACATTTTGTGCCTGTTTTGGAGGCTGTGAAGGAGAATCTGTTTCATGACTCTCTTAGCTACTGGTGGTTTTCTGGCAATGTTTGGCATTCCTTGGCTTCTAGATTCCTTCTCTATCTTTGTATGGTGTTTTTCCTTCACACAGTCTGTCTCCAAATTTGTGTTTTTATAAGCACACCATGTAAAAGGATTAGGGCCGCCTCCTCCATAGCAACCTTTTTATTTTACCTGATTACATTTGCCATGATCCTCTTCAATAGGATGGTCCCAGGGAGAGATAGGGGGCTTGGGTTTTAAACATCTGAATCTGGGAGTGGGGGTACATAATTCAATACACCAGTGTCTCTGCTATGGTTAGGCTCTCCCTCCCCTTGGGGATTCTGCAGGTGAGTGGGTGCCACAAAATTCCCCAGGCACAGGTGGGGCATAACTGACAGCCCCAGAGAAACCCTGACCATCTCCTAAATACCCCTTGCCTCAATGTTGACATCCAGGCCCATCCCTGCTCTCTGATTTTCTCCACAGTGAGCGAATGACTAACGTGTCTAGGGTGGCCTCCACATTCTTCCAGTCAGGTTATGAGTGAGAAAAGGATCTCCTAATCATCGTAGGTGGAGTCCAGTGCCAGCTGCCTTGGTGATAGAGTCCCCACAGAACACGAAGCTGATCTGCTTCTCCTCCATCTGCAGGTCTAGGTCCTCCTGAGCCCACCTCAGCTCTGCTGTGGACATGGCATGTCTAGAGCCTGTTTAAGGCCTCTTGTGCTTCTCTGCCCCCAGAGGGGGTCGGTGTGAGGTGTCCTAGTCTGTCCATCCCAGGGTGTCTTCCCTCAGTGCCAACAACCCCAGCCTGAGACCCATCAGCCCACCTCTGTCCACCCAGCCATGCTTCCCTCTGTGGTCTAGTCAGAGGAACCACACTGAATGTCAACCACTGGGATTTAGGGTGGCAGTTTCTACACAACTATGTTCTCCTTCCTAGAACTAGAAGGTTATAAGTAAGGCCAACTCCATTGAGATAACCCAGATAAGAAGACACATATGGCACAGTGTGGACCAGCATAAATAGTCCTGCTCTAACTCTGCTGGGACACCCATGTTGGCTTGGTTTCTTAAAGAGAACCAGGACAATGTCCCTGTCCCAAAGACCCAAGAAGCAGGACAGCAGCCTGAGAGGATGTGCCTCCTGTGACCTATGACAAAGGCAAGTGCCTCTCATGGCCTCTGGTGTAGTATATGTGTTTCTGTTTTTTTTAATAATAAATTTATTTTTTATTGGTGTTCAATTTGCCAACATACTGAATAACACCCAGTGCTCATCCCATCAAGTGCCCGTCACCCAGTCACCTCCACCCCCCACCCACCTCCCCTTCCACCACCCCTAGTTCGTTTCCCAGAGTTAGGAGTCTCTCATGTTCTGTCTCCATTTCTGATATTTCCCACTCATTTTTTCTCCTTTCCCCTTTTTCCCCTGTCAG